AGAGAGAGAGAGAGAGTGAGTCCTATAAGAGCTCTAGAATACTATAAATGTTGGGCAATTTTGAGTTCAAATATAAATAAAGTTGTGCTGCTCAAGCTTCAATATAATTTTTTAGAATGCTTTTGATCATTGTTGGCATTAGGGAATCAAAAGAAACAGAGAGATGAGCCAAAAACATGAAATTTTCATTAGAAGTCACTGAATAAATCATTGAAATATAAAAGCAACTGGTGTTGTAAGTCCTTTCTGAACATATTTGTCATACAAAAAGGAAGCATCATTTAGCAATCCAAAACCGGAAATTGTTGGTACCTTATGAGATGATGAGGCTGTAAACTGTCATTCACTAAGCAATGGGTTGAAGAAATTAGCCAGTCTTTCTTGAATGGATTCATCGGTATCTGCGGGTTTGTACACCAGATGCATCGCACCCTTCAGGCATACCATGAACTTAGTTAAGAGTTCAATTTGATTCTCATCTTTGAACCACTTGAACCAAAGTCTAGGCATATGGCCATGTCGCAAACGGCGAAAAAAGACTTGATTTTGGTGGGACAATGGAAAATATTGAATATCAACTTGTTCCTCTATCCTAATGCCCCTGTCTTCCCTCTTGATTGATACCATAGATCTGGGTGAGCCAGGACTAGTGTCATAGGTAGAATAAGAAAAGCACAGTAGTACTTCTCTTATATGGAGGCCCACATCTGAAAGTCTCGGCACTGTGAACGAGGGAGTCTGAAACATGAACCAATCTGGCACCTTGCTTCCCGGAATACTTAATTTATCTAGACTCGTAAATGTTTCCTACAAAAATGTATATGATATATATCAGATTGAACTGAAAAAAAAGCAATTAGCAGTCAAAGTTATAAAGGCAACTCAATAACCAAACAATGAGAGTTTTCTTGCAAAAGAAGCAACTTACCTTCGCCAGACTTTGACCCCTCAAAGTGTGAGGACTGCACCCACTCAAGAACAATTCTCTCAAAGATTTTAAACCGTTGAGACCCTGTATCTCAATCACTTTCTCACAGTTTGTGAGATCCAAATGTTTAAGTTGAGAAAGATGAAAGAGATTGGGTATAATCTGCAATGATATGCAGTTGGAAGCAAATAAAAGTTCCAAATTGGTGGGAATATCCTCAATAGCAGATAGTTTTTTACAGTCATTAACATCCAATTCTTTAAGTTTAGAAAGGTGAAATAGCTTGGGCATGGTTTGCAAACTACTGCATCCCCTAGCTTTGAATTCTTTCAAACTATGGGGGAGCTCAGGAATAGCTACTAGCTGCTCACAATCATATATACATAGTGTTTCTAGGTGATAAAGGTGAGATAGCTTGGTTATCATTTGCAAACTTTTGCATCCGGAAGCATCCAAATGTTTCAAACTGGTGGGGAGCTCAGGGATAGCTACTAGCTGCTCGCAACCATTTATATACAACTCTTCTAGGTGAGAAAGGCACCTCATGCTACTGGGCAAGCCTTGGACCTTGTTCCTGGTGAGATTCAAGATTCTCAATGAGGATAGCTTTTCAAAGTCATCAGGAATCATCCCCTGTAGGTTACAATCTTCTGCATTCAATTTCTCCAAGGAGCAAAGACTTGAGAAAGTAGATGGAAGCCTTGTCAAACTTGTACTGTTGCTTATATTGAGTGCCCTTAAACTTGTTAGATTTCCAAAGCTTTCTGGGAGCTCTTTCAACTGTTTGCACCAATTCATGGTTAACTCTTCCAACTTGGAAAGACGTCCAAAATCATCAGGCAATGTAGCAAGAGCAGTATTTTTCATGTACAGATAACGCAGTGACCTCATCCTTCCTATTGATGTTGGGAATCTACTGAGTTCCTCGCACTGACCCACATCCAACTCCTTAAGGTTCTCTAGTGAGCCTAGGGAATCAGGCACTTCCTTGAGGCTGGAGCATTCACAAAGATTCAAATAAACTAGATTCCTTAGAAGGCCAATGGAGTTAGGAATCTCGACCAAGTTGCAGCATTGTTCGAGATTTAACGTCTCTAAGTTTGGATATAGGGAACAGTTGGGAATTCTCTCCAAGTTATGACAACCTCTAAGAATAAGAACCTTCAACTTGGGGAAAATCTGTCCAAAAAAATTTGTCCGTAAAGCAGGAAACAGCCATGATAGCTTTCAAATATGGAAACAAAAAGGAAAAAAAGAACTGGCACGAGACAATGTTAAATATGAGTTAAGTTCCACACCTGCTTGATGTTGTTGTTTAACAAGTTCCAGACAGCTTCACTGTCTGACAAGTCAAGGACAGCTAGCTTTTCATAACTAAAGTCATCTGGGACGTACTTTAAAGGACATCGCAGCCATTTTAGCCACACTAATTCTGATGAAAGGGATTTGAAGCTTCCTTTAAGAGACACATCACTGATGTTGAGTAGCTTCAGATTGGTCATTGGTTTAAATGCTTCAGTTTCCCAGTTCTCCTCCCGTTCATTCCCCTTAAGCATTAGGCCTCGAACCTCACGAGTTCCCTAATCGACAGTAAAAATAAATGTCAGTCAAGTAACAAGATGCCGAAAAATTGATGTATGTGCGTCAACATTTGTCGAAATAGAGTTAAATGAATACTAATCTAATAATCCATTAAAGTTTTTTGAAAAATGAGCTAGTCCAGGAATTTCTCACCTTGTGATTCTTCAACACGTCAATGACGTCTTCTCTAGACCACAACCTACTGCACCTCCCAGGATCACCCAAGTTTTCTAGTTCAACAATCCGTCTCCCCACATCACGAAGTTGGTCATGCATCCACAAACAATTCTCATTAGTAATCTTTATGAGTGCCCGTTGCAATAATTTCCTTATGGAATTTAAAGCAGGGAAACCAGAACCTTTCCATATATAAATTGTATAATCTTTGTCTTGTCCAATGAAGAAGCATGCAATGTCAAGAAATATTTGTTTCGTTTCTTCGCTCAAGTCATCAAAACTTATTTTCAGCTTTAGCAACACTTTATCTTCAGGTATTCTTTTCAGCTTTGTTATTGCATCTTTCCACTCTTCAATGGTTTTGTCACATAAATAATATCCCAGAACTTCAAGAGCCAGGGGAAGCCCTCCAGCAGTGGATACCACATCCCTAGAGAGTTGCACATATTCTTGCATGGGTTGATTTCTCTGGAATGCACACCAACTAAAGAGTTCAAGAGATTGTGTGTCAGCCAATCCCTCGAGCTTGTAGATATGATTATTCTCCACTCTTTTATGCACATTCAACACATGCTCATCTCTAGTAGTGATGATGATCCTACTTCCTTGACAATACCAATGATGGTTGCCAGCCAATTTTTCAAGTTGAATTTCATCATCAATGTCATCAAATACAACAAGAACTTTCTTAGAGCCAATCCTCTTTTTGATAACATTGATACCTCTATCAACATCATATATATTTCGACCTTCGTCACTGAACAATTCCTTAAGAAGATGTTTTTGTAAGGTGACAAGTCCACCACATGTTCTTGAAACTTCTCTAATATCTGAGAGGAAACATTTGGCATCAAAACTGGCATATATTTTATTAAAGACTGCCTTAGCAAGAGTGGTCTTGCCAATACCACCCATGCCATGGATCCCAATCATCCGAACATCAGCAGCATCAACATCTAAAAGTGTCATCACATCATCGACCCGAGAATCTAAACCAATGGGGTGATCGGCAACATGCCATGATGTTGTGTTCTCTAACTTGGCTGAAGCATGTTCAACAAGTTCCTGCACCAAATTGGCTTCATTCCTATAGAAAATCCTTCCCTGTTAGTCAATTAAAGAAAAGTTGGACAGCTTTTTTTTAAGGTAAATGAGTGAAATATAAGTGACACAGCAAACATGATGCCAAACACATGGCTGTGCTATGGGATATATTTAACAACAACGAAATATTCATGCTCATCAAGTCTAATAATATGACAGACCCCATTTCATGTATTTATAAAAATAATCAAAACTACGAATAGTATTCCACTTCATAGATCTATAAAGAAATGATCAAACAAGAATTTAAGAAGGCTTAGTCCCATCGAGTATTTCCATGTGAAATTAAAAACCAAATAAGTGGTAACTGAACTCACAGTGCGAGAAAATAGAAATGGTTCTCCCATTTTAGACTACTTAGATTACTTTTATGTTTTCAAGAAATCTAAGATAATTGGTTAATAAAGTTATACCTGCAATTCTTCATATCCCAACCACAAAGACCACCGACCTCTTTCAAAGCATTTCTCCAGTTCTGCACTGTCTCCTCACCAATCTCAGTTTTCTTTTTATGAAACTCAAAAGCTCCACTGAAAGGCCGCTGTTGCCGGCAGAATCGCGAAGGCTCCACATAAAAAAAAACAGGAAAAATGGACCTCCTCCCCCACTTTGGTGGCAAATTCAGAAAATAAGAAAGCTGATCAAGGGGGAAGGAAAAGGAAGCATAGCTGGAGCAGAAAACAGTTACAGATATGTCACTCCAGGAAGTGATGATAGTAATCCTAGTGGTTCTATCTTATTTTCCATGGAGCTTCTCCTCACAAACTCTAAAGAGAGATAGAGAAGTGCTCTCCTCCTTTTTTTCAAGAAATCCAAGATAATTGAGAAGAGAGAGATATGACAGAAATGCTATAAACAGGGGTTCCTACTTTCAAAGGAGGAAAGGGGAGAGGGGCTTACAGGACTTTGTGTATCAATTAGTATTGAGAGAGATTCTTATTACAAGAAATCTAGAGAGAGAAAGAGAAATTCTCATTACAAGAAATTTAAGACTACTCATACCTGTGATTCTGCATATCCCAACAGAAAAGATCCGCTACTTGTTGGAAAGCATTTCTCCAGTTGAGGATTATCTCCTCATCAGACCCATTCTTCTTTTTATGAAACTCCAAAGCTCCCTTGAAAGGTCCCTCTTGCCGGCGGACATGAAAAGGCTCCACATCATAAAACACAGGTAAAATCGACTTCATACTCGTTGCTGGCAAACTCATTAAATAAGAAAGCTGGTTCAGGCACAAGGAAGAGGAAGCGTAGTTGGTAGAAAAGACGGCTATAAGCACCTCACACTCTCTAATCGCTCTCTCCATTTCTTCTTCTCCTTGTCCCCGTTGCGAGAAGAAGAAGGTGGATATGCCGGATTCAGTGAGAGCATTGTTGAGATGAGCTACGAAGCTCTTTCCTGTGTCTTCATCACAGAAGTTCAGAAAAACTGCCATGGATTTGATCTTGATTTTATCTTTCTATCTCTAGCAGATGAGGCAAGTGCAGCTAGGGGCAGGTGATCAGGCTTTTCTATCTCTACACACTCGCAACAATTTACTTACTTTGATCCATGTGTGGCTCAATCTCTGCTTTGCTTTCTCTCTCTCTCTCGGCAAAAATATTTTTTACGGAAAATTAAAAAAAACAACCAATGTAAGACTTTCTATAACTTACGGCCCATCCAACTCTTTCTCTCACTTTTTTTTTCTTAAAATACAATTATTACGTCCAAAAGAAAAAATGAAAAATATATCTAAATTATCCTCTCAAAATACAATTCCTATCTAAATACCTCTAATCAAAAAATTAAAAAATACCTAAACTATAATCTCTCACTTTTACCTTATCCATGCCACTTTCTCCACTATCTACCTAAACTATCCTCTCTTATTTTTATCTTACTCATACCTCTTTCTCCACTATCCCACCAAAATAGGAGCTCTACGCACTCTGCACTAAAACTTTGATATTATGTAAAATGCGGTCCCGCTTACACACGGTCACACAATAGGACTTCGGTATTATGTAAAATGCAGTCCCATAACTGAGTAAAATGCGGTCCGGCAGTAAGCTCCGACATTGTATAAAATGGGATCTGACAATTGCAAAAGACGGTCTAACCGTAGATGTTACTGGATTTCAATATTCGGGCACTAAGTAAAAGGCACCGAAATTATCCTCCCTTACTATTACTTTAGTCATGCCTCTTTCTCCTCTATACCACCAAAATAGAAGCTCTGGCCCTTTGTAAGTATGGTCAGGCGGTAAATGCGGTCGGGCGGACGGACTTCGGTATTATGTAAAGTGCTATTTAATGTGCGGTCCGACATTGGGATAGTGCGGTCCATTTGCTACTTGGTCTAAAGTCAACATCAAAGCTGATCAAACTCAATTTTGTGTATAAAAAATACATTTTCGTATAAAAACAAATAAACTTTTTTCCTCAAGGGTATTTCCTTAAAAGGTTTGTTTTGGGGGAGAAGTGAGAGAAAAATTAGATTATGTAAATTGTCTTGAGGGTTTTCCGTAATTTTCCCTATTTATGAGGAAGGAAGGTGTCAGCTGCCCGTTGAATTAACGGTGAACGCCAATGGCCCCAAAAGATAAAATTCGTTGGCCCGACCACATCATCACAGTTACTCGGTCATGCGAAGGGGATATTTGAGTAGTGTAGGATTGCTCAATCCAGCCACGGACCCTGTCATGGCTCAGGTCCGGGTAAGTGGCTCGAGTTTGACAGGTACTCACTAGGTCAAAAAGTGTTTAAAATATAAACAAAATTTAAAAAACATGAAAAATATGTCTAAAGTAAAATTAAAAAAAGATACATCCGGCTAAGGTTAAAAAAGTAGTAGAAAATTAGACTTTGAACTTTTTATTTATGACCAGGGGTATTTTAAAAATAATTTAAAAAATAAAAAAATATATAAATAAATAACCAAATTATTTTCCAATCTTTTATCAAATTAATAGAAAATATATAATGACCACCAAAACCGGGCTTGGCAAACTCTAGGTAACCAAGCCAGGACCGGTTTGGGCCAGCTAGCTTGTCTGACACTGTTTGACAGGGTTTTTTTGTCTATGAGATTTTGGGAATCGCATGAGAATTAACATATGATTTCAGATTTTGAGTTTTTGAACGATCAGATTTTAACCATCCATTTAAATTTCAATTTTAACTAGATTTACAATCACTGCTACTAGATAATAGCAACTTGTGAAAATTTTATTAATATTCAATCCAGAATGGGGTTACAGTCAAGAATAAGGCGTGGAAGGTTAAGGCTACAAAGGAAAATTTCATGGATTTGATTTGGGTTTTCTCTCTCTATCTAGGAAGCAATATCGGTAGGGTGATCATTCCCCCCACATATCAGTGTCGGATTGTTAGATTGAATCAATAATTCTAAAAAATGCTAAAATAAATAAAGCTTTTGTGAAATAGTGGTTTAGGGGAACCTAAAAATATATATTAGATAAACTTTTCTACATAATATAAGAGGGGATGCGGTGAAAGGACGGGTTGCTTTTGGTTTGGAACCCATACCATCTAGAAATTGTTTCAATCGCGGATGATTTCCCATCAAAGTCGGTGATGAGGATGAGGATAGAGAATTATAGGATTTTAAAACACTACTAGGAAGTGAGGCAAACCATACCACTAAGAAGTTACAGTTTTACCACTAAGAAGTTACAGTTTATTCTAGGTATGAACCAAACCATACTACTGAGATGTTACGGTGTATTCCAGTTATCGGAATAATTCAAGATTTCCTATCTCTAGCAATCACACTATTTTTCTTATCTTCATGCTTATATTTTGGGATTCCTCCGCCACCCTCAAAAACCTTTCCCCTTTTTATTCTCTCTCAGTTGTGCCACTTGCCCAAGAAAAAATAGAGATTTTATCAAAATACAATTCACTTTTTCAACAATTTAACATTTTGTTTTTTTTGAACTATTCCAACCCATAGTCATGTGTATTTTATGGGTATTGTGAAAGTAAATCCAAAATGTTGTAATTGAATAAATGAAAAAGTATTCATGGGTGACAAGATGCACATACGGAAATTGACAAAAAAATGGAGGGTCTTAAAAATATATTAAACAATATCATTTTTATTTTTAAAAATTATTTTATTTTTTATATTCATATTCACCATGGTGGAGATTCTGATCACCTAAATTTTTAAATCCCAAATCCATCGCTAAAATAGATTTCAAAGGGATGACTCAATTTCCTTTGGGAAATTTGAAAGTGGGTCGCAGCATTTCAAAATCCTTCGTGATCGAGTGGGACTGTGCTTGTTGCTACCTTAGGTTCAATCGAGGAAAGGCTTCCGGTTTGTTTAGAGCCGAGGCTCAAAACAATCAAAGTAAAACACACCTTCAAATAGTATCGAGAAATGAGGTTTTAATACTTGAAATCTTTGTGATAGCCTTAAAATATATTTTCATCTCAGGTTATAAAATTTCAAGTTTAAAAAATAGTCTAGATTTAGCAAATCTATGAAAACTTGAAAAATTTGACGGTCCAAAAATGTTTTACAAGGTACACTATTTCCAAAACTTAAAATCTTTTTTTTTTTTTTCTCATATCCATGCATCTTGATATCGAGATGATCAATTTGAAGATTTCAAAACAACCTCATTTAGTGAAATTTTTAATGTTGGCTCTAATTTGATGGTTCAGAGCCTCAGCTCTATATAAACTTTTTCCTTATATTATTCTTCTTTAGAAAAGGGAAGAAAGTCGTGATTAAAATCACCTTGTAATAGCTAAAAGATTTCTTACTTCTGGGGAGTATATTATATATCTATTTCCTTGGGCAAAACTTACAATTGGAATATCTTTTAGATTCAAAAATTTGGAGCTGTGATCTCTAACATCAAAGAATAAAAAACAAAAACAAAGAAAAAGAAAAAAAAAGAAATTGACTCTCTATGTGCCTAAAAAAAATTATTCTCAAGATTGGACTCGAACCATCCAATTTTTTGAGAAAATGAATGTTCAAGAACTTCAAATTTATTTATTTTTCTTCTATGAAAATAATCATCTCGTTATAGATGAATCTTAGATTTTCAAATACAAAACAATCTTCCAAATACGTATTTTGCCTAATAGAGTAAATGCACAGTATGCTCCAAGAAAAAGCTATAACATGCACGTTTTAATACAAGCCCTCTCCTTATTCGATACGAGCTTCTATTTCTTACGAAAGCTTGGGGCTTATCTACCTCACTGTGGCAAACCACGTCGCCGAGTAACTCGATCTGAGTCAGGATGAGTCCGGCCGAGCAAAAAAGTGTTAAAAAATTTAAAACACAAAAAAAAAAATATTTTTAAAGTAAAATTAAACAAAAACACATGTAAACATTTTTAAAGTAAAAGTAATGAAAACACATCTAAAAGGTTAAAAAAAGTAGATAAAAATAGATTTAAAAAAAAAGCAATTTGTGATGGGGGTATTTTAGAAATGAAAAAAGTTTATATAAGGGTGAGACCCTAAAATAATCAAATTAAGGCACACATCAAAAATTCAATAGAAGAGGTTGTTTCGATGCTTAAAAATCCACGAATCGATCATCTTGACTTCAAGATGTATGGAAATGAGAAAAATAGATTTCAAGTCTTGAAAATAGTACATCTTATAATGCATTTTTTGGACCGTCAATTTTCAAGACTTTCAAGTGTTCATAAATCTGCTCGATCTACACTAATTTGAAGATTTAAATTTATAATTAAATATAAAAATGAACTTTAAAGACATCGCAAAGATTTCCAATTCGGGAATGACATCTTTCGGCACTATTTGATGGTGCGCCTTACTTTGATTTTTTAGAGCATCAACTTTATACAAACCACATCCTTTAGAAATATCCAAAAAGAAAAAAAAATACAAAAATAAGTAGTTATGGTGAAAAAACTTTCTAATCTTTGCCAAAATGATTGAAAATATCAAAATTATATTGCAAATAAATTTATCATATTTGGATTTTTATATTTTTTTTAAAGATCCCCAAATCAGACCTCCCTAGTGGCTCGGCTCGCCTGGGTGGCGAGTCCAAGTTTCTGTGGCGAATCCGAATTAGCTTGCCTGAGTTTTTCCACTCTGATCTCTCTCTTCCTCTCATCCCTAATGGGATTCCAAAAGATTTTCTCTCTCTTGACGGGCACAACGCTTAAGGCATACTTGATTTTTCCACGACTAAGTTATAAAAGCTGCATTGTCTATCTTTGATTTATAGCGCAAATTCCCAAAGTGGCAGCTTTGGAAGCCGCATCTTCTATAAACCAAATGCATTTTTGTTTTTGCAAATGATGTCACCTCTCTCTCGGGCTTTCTTTTTCTCTTACCCATAGGCTTGTAATACAATCTCTCTCACTCCCTCTTTATTATTATTATTATTATTATTATTATTATTTGTTTTAAGAGTAATAATCCTATGAGGCATTTCTACACTCATGTATGTAAAATCCCAAAAAATTACCATTAAATTTGACACAGATGTCAAAAAAAATCAAGTCTCACACCCATGTAATAACTTATTTAGAGATCTGTGTCAAATTTAATGGTAATCATTTGGGGTCCTATGCACATGGGTATGAG